GACTTAAAACAATCATTCCATGATTATGGAATGAAGGCTATTTCGTGTCATAACTGAAGTCCCTGTAGAGAAATCAGCCTGGGTTGATTTTGAGAAGTCTCCTTATCCTGAGTACTAATAGTGGAACAAAGCAAGTGGCAGAGTCAGCTTTCTCCAGATGATATACCTTGTAGTTTGGGCATTAAGTTGAGACCACTGTCTGGCTCACTGGAAAGCGGCTAGAACTGCACTGCCTGTGGAACAGTTGTTTCAGAAAGAAACACCATCATCTGTCCTTGTAATGATGGTCACAGTGTCCAGCGGAAATTGCTTTTTACTTAGTATTTTTAATGGAACTTCTTAGTTTTGTATGCACATTGAAATAGAAACATTTAAATCCTATGAAGAATGGCTGATTTCAAGTTGAGACTTGAGTTTGTGGCTTTTTTCTATCCTTAAATAGAGGTAGATAGAAATAAATAGCCTAAATTATTTGGAATTATTTATTTTTGAATAGGTAATATGGTCACATGATTCAAAATTTAAAAGAGTGAAAACACATACCTTTCTTCTGATCTTTGAATTGACCTGGCTCTTTATGGGATTACAGTCGGGCGCTCCCGCCCCGCCTCGCCATTGGCTGGGGCCGCGGCGGCCCCCGCGCGGACCCGCCGCTGACATCACGCGGCCTGAGGCGGCGGAGGCGCCCCCGGCCCAGCCTCGCAGCCCCCTCGGTAGAGGCGCTGCCGCTGTGCCCGGCGGAGGATGGTGCGCGGCGCGCCGGGGGCTCCCCACCACCAGAGCCGCAGCGCCGCAGCTGAGCCGGCCGCTGCGGGCAGTCGGCCCCCGCACCGGGCGCGGGGCGGGCGGCCGCGGTGAGGCGCGGAGGGCGGCGCGGGCACCGGGGCCGGGCCAGGGCTGCAGCTGCAGCGGCCGCGGCCATGGGGGCCCTGACGAGCCGGCAGCACGCGGGCGTGGAGGAGGTGGACATCCCGTCCAATTCCGTGTACCGCTACCCGCCCAAGTCCGGTGAGGGCGGGCGGGCGGGCGCCGCAGCCGCGAGGAGGGAGAGGGGCATGGGCAGGGGCAGGGGTCCGGGTCGGGACGGCCTGGAAGGGCCCCGAGGGTCTTCTGGGACCCAGTGGTCGCGGCCGCTCCAAAACGGTCTTCGAGCGCGGGAGGTCTTCGAGAAGGCCGAGGTTTCCCCCGCCCCGGGCGAATTAGCTCAGGGGGCGTCCTGCGGGGCCTGGCAGGGTCACCGAGGGCACTGAGCCCCTCCACCGGAGAACGGGAGTGGCCTCCATTGTAATCGGCCCCGTGACGGGGACGCGTGCCCGCAGGGACTGCGGCTCCTGGGGAGCGGGGCTGCGGCGTCGCAGGCGAGGTCAGAGCCCCGCACGGACCCGGCCGGCCCGGCCCATAGCCCGCTTGCCTCGCGGGGTCCGAGGGCCGCGGGGGAGGCGACCTCGGCATCCCAAACAGGTATCTGCACCAGGTGCTATCCTTGCGCTGCCGTCTTCGGGCCTCTGGAAAGGTTAAAATTAGGTTTCTCCTGGAAAAGCTTCCATTGCTTGCTAGAGGATGGAAGCCAAACATGTATTTGGAGTGCGGGTGCTTTTTGCAGAGGCTGTCAGAAGCGAGGGGGAAAAAAAGTAACAGTAATGTTTGGTAACTTGAGTATCAGAGTCACTCGGATTGCCCCTTTGCTAGCGTAGTAGCAAGCCTGGGTTTTGCAGTGGGACCAGCTCTGGGACGGAGCAGAGGTATTGGAAACGTATAGAAGTATTATGTTTGTTATTAGAATCATTCCTTCACTTAGAAAGATAAATGTCTCCAGCCTCTGGGTTGTGGTATCAGCATTGGAGGTGGAGGAGGATTTTGACAGCAAAACAGAGAATCACAAGAAGGTAGTTCAGTTATGTGAGCACCGGCCAGTGTGAATTGCATGACCTAGCTGGTGTTTACTTTTAATTGCAAGTAATTTTACTTTAATTAATTACTTTTAATTTTATTCTCAAGACGTATGGGGATGAATGGCTGCCACATTCTCTCTGGCTTAGGACCTGATGGAGATTTTGGTGATCTCGGAATAAGGTGTCAGAATTGGAGCAGAGCCTCGTCTCTTTTTGGTAGAATAGAGACATACTAATGAGATGAGCTGATTTCTCAGCAGTGTGTCCGGTGTCTGCCAGGTGAAAGCAGGGGCCAGACGATGAACCTGCCCGCATCCCTGCAGAGTATCTGCCAGAGCTGTGTTTCTCACTGCTTTTGTGCCAAAGAATGAATCCTTGCAAAGGTTAATGTAATAATTGTTTTAGAAAGGTCTAAGATAAAGCTGTGGGTCATTAGTATTTTAATCAAGCTCTGACTGATTATGACTACATAAAATCAATGCTAAACAAGGCATAGATTTTGTTTTTTAATAGACAAAAATATTCTTAGGGTGGCATGAGGAAAACTTTTTAAAATAGACAAAAATATGCAGCAGTATTTGTGGGCTCTGTTTTTCTTAAACCACATGGCTTTTATTGATCAGAATATGGAGCATACTTTGCTGAGCTTGGAATTTCCAATAGTATTTGCTGCCTCAGGAAAGTATTCACTGCTCCTTCACATGTGGGACTTAACGTAGGTAAACCTCTGGAAGGCTGTTCCCCAAAGCATATTTGTACAAGTATGAATCTTGGGTGATGATAATAAAAAGATAATAGACCAAACCAAAACTTTTGTTAATTAGCACACTCAACACTTTGTCTTAAATAATCTTCTCCACTCTACCAATCTTTTAACAGTTTAACTGTAAAACTGTAATTCATGTTAAATCAGAAGTTATCTGTGAGAGAAGTCTTTACAGCAAGTGGACCAAATTATTTATGTTGAAGCTAAAACACAGAAAAGACGATCAGAATATCCACATGGATGTAAACCTTTGTGTATTTGAAACCTTACATGAACTTGCATACATGCTGTAGATAGAGGCATCGCCTTTCTTCTGATCTTTGAATTGACCTGGCTCTTTATGGGATTACAGTGTTAGTCCTGACAAGAACCTTCAAGAGAGTTTGGCCATGACCACCATGCCTAGCTAATGTTTAATATTGTGTGTGTGTGTGTGTCAGAGTCTCCCTCTGTCACACCCAGGCTGGAATGAAGTGGAGCGATCTTGGCTCACTGCAACCTCTGCCTCTAGGGTTCGAGCAATTCTCCTGCCTCAGTCTCCCAAGTAGCTGGGATTACAGGTGCTCGCCACTGCACCGGCTAATTGTTTATATTTTTAGTAGAGATGAGGTTTCACCATATTGGCCAGGGTGGTCTTGAACTCGTGACCTCAGGTGATCTACCTGCCTCAGCCTCCCAAAGTGCTGGGATTACAGGCGTGAGCTACCATGCCCAGGCAAATTTTTTGTAGAGACAGTATCTCACTATGTTTCCCAGGCTGGTCTTGAACTCCTGGTCTCAAGCAATCCTTCCGCCTTGGCCTCCCATTCATTTCACTGATAAGAAAATGGAGACCCAGAGAAATGAATTGGTATGGCCAGGGTCTCTCAGGCAGTTGGTGTTCTTCATACTATACCATCTGCCTCTACCTCTCAAGGAATTGGGTTTTGAACTTGTACTCAAAAAAACAAGACTTAAAACAATCATTCCATGATTATGGAATGAAGGCTATTTCGTGTCATAACTGAAGTCCCTGTAGAGAAATCAGCCTGGGTTGATTTTGAGAAGTCTCCTTATCCTGAGTACTAATAGTGGAACAAAGCAAGTGGCAGAGTCAGCTTTCTCCAGATGACATACCTTGTAGTTTGGGCATTAAGTTGAGACCACTGTCTGGCTCACTGGAAAGCGGCTAGAACTGCACTGCCTGTGGAACAGTTGTTTCAGAAAGAAACACCATCATCTGTCCTTGTAATGATGGTCACAGTGTCCAGCGGAAATTGCTTTTTACTTAGTATTTTTAATGGAACTTCTTAGTTTTGTATGCACATTGAAATAGAAACATTTAAATCCTATGAAGAATGGCTGATTTCAAGTTGAGACTTGAGTTTGTGGCTTTTTTCTATCCTTAAATAGAGGTAGATAGAAATAAATAGCCTAAATTATTTGGAATTATTTATTTTTGAATAGGTAATATGGTCACATGATTCAAAATTTAAAAGAGTGAAAACACATACCATGGAAGCCTTGTTCTCCCCGCTGTTGTCCATCCACCTGGTTCTCCTGCCTCCCTCCAAACCTCTCATCCCATGTAACCACTTTTGGTTTCTTTGGAATTCTTTTAGAGTTTCTTGTGTAAATGCAAGCATAGCATGCTATTAGACTGTTCTACAGCTTGCTCTTTTTGCTTTCAGAGATATTGGAGATCTTTTTATATTGTCTCATATTTGATAAGTTTATCTGTGCTTTTTAACTATATAGTATTCTTCTGTATGCATATGCCATCTTTTTTTTTTTTGCACATAGTCTCCTATTGATAAACATCTGTGAGTTTTTTTTTCGGTATCTTACTATTGCAAACAGTGCAACAATGAATAATGTCATGCATTAGGTGATTTTTAGATTTATTAATAATTGTGTGAATATTAATCATTTAAGTAATAGAAAGTATGGTGGGAGTTTCTGTATAGCATTTCTATATTAGCATAGAAAGCAATTTAGAGCATGATTCTACTACGTTCGGATGTACTTTTGTAATTTTTGAGTTAGAGGTCATATATCCTTCTCTAAGATCTTTGCATCTTTAAAAGCCCAAGATCATTCGTTTAGCAAAGAAAGGTATGACTTTGCGGAGATGGTTGCTTTTATGAAAGCTCATCTTTTGACAGAAGTATCCACCTTGATAAAAGTCCACATTGATAAAAGCCTGTTTTCTCTATCCAGGAAGAAATAGGCATACTATAAAGACAATTTGATTTATAGAAACCAGTACCTCATAAATCTAGTTTGTTTCCCTCCACATATTTGGGCAAGTTGGAAAATAGGAATAATTTGTTTTGCTGAAGTCTTTAAGAAGTAAACCTACTACAAAAATTCAGAATGGTAATCAGAGTCCTGACCAGCTAGCTTGGTTAAACCTGGGTTTTTGCTTTTAAGGCCTTCAACTGACTAGACAAGGCCCACCCACACAATCAAGGATAATCTCTTTTACTTAAAGTCAACTGATTGTAGATTTTTAAAAATTAAATTATTTTTAGAGACAGCGTCTCACTCTGGCACCCAGGCTGTAGTGCAGTGGTGTTATCAAAGCTCACTGTAACCTCAAACTCCTGGGCTCAAGTGATCTTCCTGCCTCAGCCTCCTCAGTAGCTGGGATTACAGGCATATACCACCATGCCTGGCTAATGTTTAAAGTTATTGTAGAGACAGTATCTCACTATGTTGCCCAGGCTGGTCTTGAACTCCTGGTCTCAAGCAGTCCTTCCACCTCAGGGTCCCAAAGCACTGGGATTACAGGAGTGATCTACTGCATCCAGCTGTAGATGTATCACATCTGTCTACATCATCATTCTCCAAATTTTCGTTATTTTAGAGTACATATATTTTGGTCAAATGGGTCTTTCCTATTGCAAGAACAGTTTTTAAAGGCATGGATAATGAGTCTTTGTCAAATAACTATAAAAGTTTTTATGTAAGTTTCTCCTAGCTTTAGGAGTATCAATTTAATATTAGATTTGAAACCATACACTTAAAAATATGTAACTTATGACTGGGTGTGGTGGCTCACACCTGTAATCCCAGCATTTTGGGAGACCGAGGCGGGTGGATCACGAGGTCAGGAGATCAAGACCATCCTGGCTAATACGGTGAAACCCTGTCTCTACTAAAAATACAAAAAAATTAACCAGCATGGTGACAGGAGCCTGTAGTCCCAGCTACTCAGGAGGCTGAGGCAGGAGAATGACGTGAACTTGGGAGGTGGAACTTGCAGTGAGCCGAGTTCGCGCCACTGCACTCCAGCCTGGGCAACAGAGCGAGACTCTGTCTCAAAAAAAAAAAAGTAACTTACTACAAAATAAGGAATTATTTGGTTG